TATGATATGTAAGTAGGGAATGTATGTATAGGGAATGTATGATATGTAACTGATGGAAGCGATCTACATGTATGCTTTAATCATCGTACTGAATATGATTCAGATGTAGTATTTGATAAAAATTTGATTTTCTCAGCTTTTTGCACATTTTTTACGAAACTTACCTACATTCAAGTGTTGATAAAAAAAGAAAGTTTAAAGCTAAAATGAAAGAGTTAAAAACTACACATTTCGGAAAATAGGATGGGTTGCAAATGTCATTTCATGTTGACTTTAAGCCAAGGAAAGTTGAAGTGGATACACTGTTGATAAACTGCTAACATGTAACCAGGCCAGGTGCGGCGGACTAAACCAACTCATTGCCCACCCGCTCACCCACACACAGGGGTCACATTAGGCCACAACAACACAATAAGACATTCACACCCAACAAAGGTTTTTAGGTTGTTGATAAGAGCGTGTCTTCAAGCAGTAGCTGTGTATGTCTGTATGAGAGAAGCTAGATTAAAGCCAGGTGTGTGTGATCTCTTCCCCTGGAGGTGCGCCTTATCTCTCGTATCCCTGGGCTAACAGAAGCAGATGCTACCTGCAATCCCTTTTCCCCTTTGCTGATCAAATCTTTTAGTCCGCACAGATCAGAGACAGGTTTCTGTAAAGCCTGATGCTAATCTTGCTTCAAGAGCCAACTAGAGCATTTACATAGATGACTCCACCCGCCATCCGGACATTAATAAACGTAAACGCTCTGCTTATTAACTCCCCCAAAAGGAAATGTGCTAGAGCCGGGCTTTTGAAGTCATAATAGTTAAGATTAGATCGTAAGCAAGCGGCTTAGAAATCGGATCCTCATTCCAATGCTCCTGGGAACAGCTGTGTGGTGGCCATGTTGTTGACATGAGAGAGAGGAGAGTGTAGGCATTCCTGTTTATTCATAGTATCACGCACCTCGTCGTACGTCCACACTCCGCTGGCCAGCTCCACGCAGAATATCACCATCAGACTGCCAAAATACTGCGAACGCACACACAGAGGAAAACAGTTTGGTTAAATATAACTTTTGAAACAATAGGGCAGAAGGAAGGTGTTGATGATCACACATAGAGAAAGGAGAGCAAATGTGTGTGTGTTTGTTCACGTATGCTGGGATCTGAGGTCTGGTCTGTCTCTCAGGTCGACTCTCCCGGAGTTTTGCGTAATTGTGACAGGCTGTGTTCAGAATAGCATACTAGGCATACTATTTGTTGCAGTATGCAGTAGGTATACTGTGCAAAATATGCAAATATAACAGAGCATACTGTATCTCATTATACAATCCACTCGACATGACCTTTCAGGTATTAAATTATCACAATTCCATAATTTTTCAAGTCAAGATGAAACTGATCCTATTTATTTTCTTCATATTTTTTTACTTCTCCTTAATCATGTATATATATATATATATATATATATATAGTATTGATATAAAACATACATTTCAATTATATTATATTATATTATATTATATTTAAATGTATATTAAATATAAATACATTTTTAAAAATATTTTAAAATGGTATATATTTTTTAGTGCTGGGCAACGATTAATTGCATCCAAAATAAACGTTTTTGTTTATATAATATATGTGTGTGACTAATCGTTAGTTGACCAGAAGAGGCTTGGTCGACCAAAATTTTTTAGTCGCTTAGTCGCAGAAAAAAAAATCTGAAATATGTAAGTATTAGCAATTTTACATGGCCGCTTAATCTAATGTTAGGCTAACCTAGAAAAATGTGCACTATTGAAGTGTCTGTGTGGAGTGTAAAAGCACGCTCACTGCAAGACAAATGGAGCCACCGGTGTGGTCACTTGCTCTTAAAATACTTATTTTTGGTCATACAGATAAGAGTAATACATATTTCGAATCTGTAAAGACTCTACGTTTATTTATGTGCACTCACAATAACAACAAAATGAGCTTTTGTAAAATAATGAAAGCAAACAGGATGCTCTTTCTGCCACCTCGGTCTCTCTGAACTTGAGTGCGAAACTCCAAAACTCTGATTATGTAATTTGTATGAAACATGCACACAGGCGCATCACTACTGTGGAGATGACGAGTCAGCGTCGCCGACTTCATCTCTTAATCTAAAACCAAAGAAACACTAGTGTATCAATACATTATTAAAATGTTAATGCAGCCTCCTTACTGTTTTTCCCTGACACATTCATAATCATTACCTTCTGCCGGTGCGCTGTGGCACACGCGCATCCACTACTGCGGAGATGACGAGTCAGTGTCGCCAACTTCATCTCTTAAACCGAGAACAAAGAAAGCACTAGTTTATCAACACGTTATTAAAATGTTAATGCAGCCTCCTTACTGTTTTTCCCTGACATATTCATAATCATTACTTCTGCGGTGCGCTGTGGCAAGCTTTATGCGTTGCTTGAGAGCTTATAGGCTATGTTAAAGCCTCGTTATAATGATTTAAATTGTTTATTAATAAAAGTGCAATTAGTCGACTAATGCTTCAAATGAATGACTACTAGTCGACCAGAAAAATCTTTAGTCGAGGACAGCCCTAGTATATATAAATGCACACACATGCATGTATATATTTAAGAAAAATTTTATGTTTATATATAAAATATATTTATATATAATATAAATTATATGGATATAAATATATACATGTAAATACATGTAAATATTTTGCATTTACATTACATTTACATTTAGTCATTTAGCAAACGCTTTTATCCAAAGCGACTTACAAAT